AGGTTGAGAAGCACTGCTCCAGTGTCTGAACTCATATTTCATTCCTCTCCCCCTTCTTCGTTTTAATCTGTTTACTCAGGAACTGGACAGTGGTCTTTCTACAATCAGTGAGAAATCTTCTGATGTTCAAGGGAGTCATCAACCACTTTCCACAGAGTCAAGAGATGAGGCCCAGTAAAACTCCCACCTCCACCTAATTTGGGGGGCCTGCTACACTTCTGCTGTCCACTTCTCCCCTTGCTGCTTTTTCACTCCAGTCATGTTCTGGTTTCATCAACTGCAGTTCTCAGTAGAGTCCTGTTGCTGGACAGCCCCCTTGACCTGAGCAGCTCACCAGAAATATCCCAAACGCGCACAGTCTGGTCCAGGCTGGCAGATACTACCAGGTCCTCTGAAGGATGGAACTGGGCGCACATCACATAATGGTTATGTCCAGTCAATACACTAGGAAGAAGACAAAATCCAGCGATGAGTCCTCTCAAGATTCAAGACCAACATCATGATGAGTACAGAACGTAAGTTCTTTTCATTTACACATCTGTATTTAGGAAGCTTAGCTGTCATTCTATGGCCTAAACGTCCTGCAAAGGCTGAGAACAGATGGCATAGCACAGCTGGCCTTTTACGCCATTCCAGTATGGCAGAAAACACCACTTCCAACAATACAAAATGCGTTAACTATTTGCGAGCAAAACACGTACTGAAGAAATGCATGGCCAGTGAATTCACTTCTGTTATTGCAGATCATCTAATCTACTCTTCTCTAACTGTTAGCCATGCTGGATAGATTCTGGGAAATGAAATGTGACACATCTGGAAGGTACCAGGTTGGGAAAGCAGACTGAACCCTAAGCCATGCACTTCCAGAAAGCAGAGGGAGCATCATATTCAGAGGGAAAGGACATGAATGTTACACCAAGCCATTGTTCTCAATCTCAGCCCCATCTCCAGTATCGCTGGGGCTTCTCACCAGATCTTAAGATTACTTGTATGGGATTTATATGTATATATGTATATTCAATTAATCAATTTACATGGCCGCCCACTCGCAAAATGCTCTTCCCTCATCTCCCTCAATTTATCTCTTCGGGACACATTTAGCTGTGATTTACAGAATAAACCCTATGTAGATTCACTCGCTATACTAAGCCATAAATCACACATAACAAAACACAAGGGCTGGGATGGCGTAACACACTAAATGAAGCCAAACTTCATCACAGCTTTGTGCAGGGCACAACCAAGCCAGTGGCTGGGCTGAGAGTCCCAATAACTTCAGGTCCAAACAGTGTTCTCTGATCTTATTCTGAACCTAACCACCACACTTACTCTTTAAAGCAGCTGCAGTACAGAAAATGTATACCTGCAAGCTCTGAACACTGAAAAGGTGCTCCAGGAAAGCTATGGCAGCAATAGGATTTACTTAACAGATGTTTATAGCACTCAATAACACACCACACCTGGCCATAAATCTCTTCTCTCCAAATAGTCAGCCTGGTGCCTGAAGCTAGCAGTAGAAGTCTTGCAGAGCATGGCTGGGCAAGCAGCTTTTGTAGCAAATATTGAAAAAGCTATACGCGTGCAGAGGAGCCACCCAACATCTGTATTAATCCAATAGTTCTGTATAGCCATACTTTCAGCCTCACCAGTTTCTGCCCTCATGCAGGCATTCTGTTTAGGATCAGCCAATTTCTCTCAGTGACCAACAAAAGCCGGGCGCGGGGTGGGGGGGGGGCTCCTTGCAAGACAAATGTCTGTGAGCCGCATTTTTAACTCTGAAACGAGGTGGGGTTTTTTGGTTACCAAACACAGGTTCTGGACTGCCAGTTCCACACCCGGATGGTCTGATCATCAGATGCACTGAGGATCCAAGGATATTCCTAGAAACAAGAGACACGCAACAGTTTTCTTTCTGTCAGACAGGCAAACAGGACCCTCGGCAGAGCAACAGGCCTAACAACATCTTACAGTTTCTGAATCCCTGAACAAATGTCCCAGGTTGTTGCAAAAGTTCAGCTCACAGAGAAAAGGACATAAACAGGACTGCAGCATTCAGCTGGACTCACATGATGAAAGAAGGTAGTGCGGATGTAATCCAGGTGCCCCAGCAGCGTGAAGAGACAACGACGTAGCTTGTAATTCCAGACCTTGAGAAGAGAAACGCAGGCATCAGTGGTGTGAATCCTAGGTTGCTCTCTGTTTTTTCCTCATCTGATTAATTACAGATCACACATCCGATTCCATATGGCCTGTCGAGAAATCTTCTACCTACGCTTCCATCTTATGGGTCTGTCTCAATCTTGGTAGATAGTCAAGGGAAAGACAAACATGCAGCAGCTGAATAGGTCAATTCAGAGGGTCAATCAGTCCACCATCCTATTTCCCTCCACAGATCTTTAAAGAATTCTACCCTCTCATAAACCATCTCACTACATCCCAAGGCAACAACTACCCACTCCTGCATCATGTGGCAGGAAGTTTGGAAAGCTAAATCATGCATTGTTTAAGTACTGCACACCTCCCACTGTCCCTTTCCCCCTCTTTTGGGCAGCTTTCTTGGGCACTGTTTTCTTTTTTGGCCCCCACCACCAATATCACCTTGATTTTATAATCATCCCCTCCAGAGACAAAGAGCGGTTGTTGCTTGTGGAAATCAATCCCTCTGACGGGTCCTAGAAAACAAATATAAAATACTGTGAGTCACAGGGAAATCAGAGAAGGGTTAAGGCTTTTCACTTTCTTTTCAATAAAGGAAAGAGTGCTTAACTCAATGCTGTAACAGCAATATTTCCTTTTGATTTTTCTTTTTTTCTTCTGACACACACTTTATCACTTCTTCCCTCTGCTGAATGAAACTCATCTGCCATAGTATCTTCTTTGCCTACAATATTTTATTTCCCCAGTTCTGCCTCTTCTGCAGAATTAATCTTGGATAGACTTGGTCCCATCCAATAAGATCCAGCAAGGTAGGTTGATTCCAGCTCCCTTTCCTTGGGGAGCATCATTTATAGGGCCCAAGGAACATTGGGGCTATTCTATTCCTACTTCTTTGGAATAACTTACAAACAGTTCATCTTAAAATCAGGTTATCCACAACTCTATTATGCTATGTTTTCGGAGAGCTACTAAACTTGGCTTTTTAACAAAGCCCTTGGAGGAAATCTATTATAAATTACAACTTTGGGTTATGGTTAAGTTTCTCACTGGTTTGATCAATTCTGGTAATCAGTAGTATACCACGTAAAAAAATAACAAAAACTAAAGCATATTTATTTATTGAGGCTTATATACTGTTGCAGTCCAACAGAAGTCTGAGTGGCTTGCATTTCTTTCCTACAGTAAAGAGGTCAAATTAAAATACAAAAAAAAAAAATGAGAATGGGAAGCAACGGTGTTCAAGAATAATAACAAAAGTTACTAAAAAAGAAACACAGGCAAAAAATGCAGCATATTTGTATAGTTGTAAATTTACAACTGTAAATTGTGTAAATGTGTAAATTGTATAAATCAATAAATAAGAATTTGCTGCACGGCAAATTATGGCAGCCTCTCATATTTTAGAGAAAAGCAGGCCCTGCTTGCCTGCACCCAGTATAACCAGATCACACTGACCATCGTGTTCATCAAATTTGTCAATGAGGGTGCACATCCGATAGTCCCAGAGCTGGATCACCCCATTGTGTAAACTCGTCAGGATCCAAGGCCGCTTCGGGTGAAAGCTCAGCCCTGAAAATAGAGATAAAGACATTTCTTGGGTGCCAGCTGCTGTTCTTATCCTCCACGGGGCCCAGAGGAAACCTGTACAACATTTAATATACGGCACACCTTTTCTACGAAGAAAGAGAATGAACCAACTTGCTCAGCTCAACCTTTCCCTTAAATTAGTGCTGGTATTGCCTATACATTGTGCCAAGCCTTGGCTGAGGTTGGATTCCCACAACCCAGGCCGGGTGGGGGATAGCGGAGCCCCCCACCCCCAGATTAACCTGGTTTACGAATCTGGCCCACGAGAACTCTTAGACCCCCATCCGTGGCGCGTCTTTGCCAAACCAGACGCAGCGGCTTCTGTCTGCTAAAATTTAGATTCTGTCTAAAATCTTTCTGCGCGGGACAATCAGGGGCTCCACCCTCTGTCAACTCCGCTACTCTTAGACCCCCATCCGTGGCGCGTCTTTGCCAAACCAGACGCAGCGGCTTCTGTCTGCAGACGCGCCTGACGCCCCAACCCCACAACCTTCCCCCTGCTTTGATACCTGTGGAATACTGTGCTAGGGATTTATTTATAAGCATTTATTTATTAAAATGTATAATTAAATTGATAGGCAGCGTTTTGGCACCGAACCGAAAAACCGGGAACGCGGTCTTCCGACCGCAGGGCCCCCCAGCAGGGAA